CGCGCATGTGTCTTTGCCGAGCTTACCTGGATGATTCTTCTTTCTGCCTGGGAGTTCAAGAGCCTGCGTCGCTCCATGTTCCGCCTCAACCCCGACGACGAGAGCCGCTTCCCCCTGTTCAAGGATCTCTGGAGCAACAGGTTCCTCTTCTGGGCCGTCATCATCGGCGGCATCTCCGTCTTCCCCGTCGTCTACATCCCCTACGTCAACCACAACCTGTTCAAGCACACGGGCATCACGTGGGAGTGGGGCGTCGCCGTCGCCTTTACGATTCTCTTCGTCTTTGGCATTGAGGCGTGGAAGTTTGTCAAGCGGACCTTTGGCCTGCTCGAGAGCGGCGCCGTCGTGCGCGGCTCGTTCAACCAAGGCGAGGAGAGCACCGGTGCGGGTATGCGCCGCACCATGACGATGAGCAGCTTCAAGGAGTGGGCGAGCTTCTCGCGGTCAAACACCCAGGGGCGCAGGTCGCGGTCTCAGTCTCGATCCGGGCCGCACAGGGCTACGAGCGACGTCTCTGGCTCTACGCAGCATGATGGAGCCACGGTCGAGCAGAAGGTTTGAGGGGGTTTTAATGATGGTGAGTGTTAATGAGAGAGAGAGAGAGAGAGAGAGAGAGAGAAGATACCCGAGTGTTGTGTGGGGTGGAAAGGGCCGTCCAACCCCCAAGGGAGTTCGAGAGCCAGGAAATGTTGGAGATATACCCGTTGAACGCTGAGATTCGGGGGACATGTTTTCTCTTACTTGCTTACTGACCAAGTTTGTATCGGCCTAGAGGCCTTGGAGAGCCACCAGCTCAAATAATTCTCATTAGGATAATGAAGACGTTTTGATACGTACACCTCACGCGAACCGTAGTGTCACTGCTGCATTCAATGGTTCATGGAAATCGATTCCTATGCAAGACCAAACGCCCCCTCCCTATTGTGCTGCCTGCTCGTGACTGGGAATCAGAATCATCGTAGTTTGTCCGTCCACCCACCGACCCTCTTAGCATGCCCTCCTTCTTCACATGAGGCAAGGTCTACCTCCTTCCCCGTCCAGCACCGGGCATCCCTGGCATGCCGCCGCCCATGCCCATCTGCTTCATCATGGCCTGCATATCAGGCATGCCGCCACCACCGGGCATGCCGCCGCCGCCGCCCAGCATCTTCATGAGGCTGCCCATGTCGGGCATGCCGCCCATGCCGGGCATGCCACCTCCGCCGCCGCCCATGCTCTGCATGCGCTTCTGCATGGCGGCGAGCTGCTGGGCCTTGTTGCCGCCGCCCATGGCCTGCTGCGCGCGCTGCATATTCTTCATGTTGCCGCCCATCTTCTTGGCCATGCCGGCCATCATGCGCTGCTGCGTGAGGAGGTCCTCGACCTCGCGGACCGAAGTGCCGGAGCCGCGGGCGACGCGGGTCATGCGTGTAGGCTGCTCGGTGAACATTTTGCCGTCCGAGTCGAGCTCCTTGTCCGTCATGGAGTCGCAGATGTAGATCATGCGCTTCAGCTTGAGGGAGCCCTCCTCGTCGTCCATGCCCTGCATCATGCCGCTCATACCGGGAATCATGCCGGCCATCTTGGACAGGGGGCCCATCTTCATGATGTTGGACAGCTGATCGCGCAGGTCGCGGACGGTGAAGATGCCCTCGGTGATGTGCTTCATCGTGTCCTTCTGGTCGAGCTTGAGCGACTGCACGTGCTCGACGAGCGAGGCCATGTCGCCCATGCCGAGCAGCTTCTGGACAAACTGCTGCGGGGCGAAGCGCTCAAAATCGAGCATGTGCTCGCCCGTGCCGATGAAGACGATGGGCGTGTGCGTCGCGGCGACGGCCGAGATGGCACCGCCGCCGTGGGCGTGGCCGTCCGTCTTGGTGATGATGATGGCGCCAAAGTCGGCCGCCTCCTTGAACGCCTTGGCCTGCGACTCGGCCTGCTGGCCGATGGAGGCGTCGAGCACCATGATGGTCTCGTCGGGTTTGATCGCCGCCTGGATGTCCACCATTTCCTGGAACAGGTTCTCCTCCTGCCTGTGGCGGCCGGACGTGTCGACAATGATGACCTCGAAGCGCTCCTTCTTGAACTTGTCGACACCCTCGCGGGCGACGACGGCCGGGTCCGTCTCGGTGAGGGAGCCGTAGTAGGGGATCTTGGCCTTGGTGGCGTTCTGCTTCAGCTGGTCGAAGGCGCCGGCTCGGAACGTGTCGGCGCACACGAGACAGGCCTTGAGGCCGCGGGCCTGGTAGTGTCGGGCGAGCTTTGTGCACGTTGTCGTCTTTCCGGCACCCTGAAGACCGACGAACATGATGACGTTGGCCTTGCCCTTCTTGGGCTTGAACGGTTCGGCATGGGGATCGACGAGCTTGACGAGCTCATCAAAGACTGTTTTCTGGATGAGGCGCTTCTTATTGACGGCGGGCGGCAGGTCTTTGAAGTTGACGGTCGATTTTATAGATTTGCGGAGTTGGCCAACGAGGCGCACGTTAACGTCGGCTTCGAGGAGGGCGGCGCAGATCTCTTTCAGCATGCCGTCGAAGGCCTGTTAGGATACCTCGTTAGCATTGGCCGCACGTCACCTCTTTTTAATGGTCTTTTGGAATTGATATGGCTGTCGCAAAGATGATGGTGCAGATGGAGGCGTACCTTTTCGTCGAGATTCGGTGCCCTCGTCAGGTCCGAGACGGCCGTGTTGATACGGCGTCCGAGATCTTGAAGAACCATCTTGTCGGGTCGCGGCTGTTAAGCCGACTGGATCGTAGGGGCCGTGGCCGCTTGGAGGGGGTTTGCGATGGTCCTGAGCACGTGGTTGCGACAGGCGGGTGGGCAACAGGGCGACAGGCGACTGGCGATGTGATAGGCGATAGGGTCGTGGCAATTTGGATGGAGTTGTAGCACAAAGGTGGGATGTCACAATGTGGGGTATCAGCCGCGGGGCTCGGCGACATAAATGTCCGGCTGCCGGTGATGACATAAGCACAATCTTGGTTCTTGGGTCAAGCGAGGAGCATGATCATCAACCACCATGGTCTCTTCACCCTTGGTACCTGTTCTGACACATGCTTGACAATCCCGACGCATTGTCTGACCATGTATTGTCTGACCATCTACAACCATTGCTATCTTCCACAGTAATCAACACGTTTTCTCCCTCAACGAGTATTCTCCGCGACCGCGAGCAGGAACGTCATTAATCCAACAGCTGCCTCGCGGAGAGCAATGTTGAAAGCTCCGACGGTCGGATAAAATGGACATATCTCGCCAAGGTTGTCCATGGCCTCGCTCTCCACATCGCCCATCTCCATGGTGAAGCTCATGACCTTGGTCTTGTTGCTATCGACAATGTGACGCGCATAAGCCCAGTCCATGATTCCGCCTGTCTGCGGATACAAGTAGGCCGACTCTCCAAAGGTGTGCGTCATGTCGGCCACGCCATCCATGGCATTAGCAATGCTCTCAGCAACCGAGCTGTGTAGGTCGTTGTCGGCACGATCCATGTACTCGCCGTACTCGCTGTCCCACGTGTCGCCGCGTTTGCCGTCATACTCCTCATTCTGCCAGTTCTGCTCCGGCTTGCTCACATGGTTCAGATCGAGGCCCCAGGGATGGAAGATGTGCCGACCAAATGTACGAACGTCCATGAACCAGCTGACATTGGGGAACGCCTCAAAGACCCAGGCCGCATTGCGACTTTCGCTCTCTGAAAATGCGTGTTTACCCTGGAAGAATTCGCTGCTGGGAGATGCCGAATTACCGATATAACCAAAGGTCGAGTTGAGGATGCGGAAGTAGTCAAAGGCAAAGTCAAAGTTGCGATTGATATCGACGCCGACCGTCGTGTTCCACAGCCCGTTGGGAACCTGCTTGTTCTCTCCCTCGCCATTTGAGCTGTCGGTGTTGCGGTTGCGACGCCAACAGTCGTCCATGTCCTGGTCCCACATGACGCCATCAACGTTGACCATGGGGTAGAACACGATGCCGACGGAAAGAGCACGATGGACTTCGGTATTCGTGAACTTGACATTATTGCCGTAGTCGAGACCCGTGTCGTGCTTGCGAGCGTACAAGAGGTCGGAAAGGAAATAGATGATGGCATCCGAGGTGCCACGCTCGCGGCCGTGGATAGAGCCGGTCAAGTAGGCGCTGTAGGTCGAGGGCATGCCGCAACTGTTGCCGGTGATGCCGAGCGGGGTGCCATCACAGGGAAGCATGCCGATGGTGGTTTCGCGGTCCTCGAACGACTTCTCGGGCGGGTGGGCGAGCATGATGCCGTATTCGTTCTTCAGGGCTTTCATGGCAGATTCGATCTCCCTGTGGCCGAGGATCGTCTTGAAAGTGTGGAAGGAGGCGTTTTCGCTGCGACCTTTGACCCCGGCGCCGTAGGGGACGTCTTTGCCGTCATTGAAGCGGTCGCCCTGGCCGATGCCGGCCTCATCCTTTGGACCGCGATACTGGCCACCCTCGGAGTAGAGCTGCCGATGGACGAGATCCCGACTGACGCTACCGGCGCTCGCAAGCAGGACTCCTAGGCCGAGAGCTAGGAGGCCGACAAGCCAGAGGGGATTCGGGATCTTCATCGCTATACCTTCGCACGGTTCAGAGCTTATTTTCTTTCTCGAATGGCGGACCAACTATGAGTCTTGCAGACTATCTGTTGGGTTTGGTCGTTGGCAGTGTCGAGATATGGCGTTGGTGTTTTCCGTGCAGATCGCAATGGTTCGAGGTTGAGTAAAAAGGCAAGAACGCTTTGGGGTCAGTGTCATCAAAGATCCTGCGGATGCCTGCCTGCCTCTACAGAGCAAGGACCAACGCAGTCGATAGCAGGGCCCAGACGTCTCTATGGAAAATTCACTTCACGTAGTACTCTTCTGTCTTGACTTCATCATCTCAAGGACGCTTATGACCAGGTAAAAGTTGCTTCTACACCAAACATGGGCCACTACAGTAGCAGTGTAATCATTGTGAAGAATATCTCATTCAATGCATTGAAATTGCATTGAATTGCATTGCCATGGCTCAGCTCACATCAGGCCGCCCGTTGTCACCTGTGCCTCGTCGAGACCCGCCTTGGGTCGGAAGCGCACTTTGACGCCCGTCAGCATAGCCATGAAGTAATATCGAATCTCTTCCTCCGGCGGCATTGCGACCTCAACATCAAACTCGCTCATCAAGGCTGGAATTACCTTGTAGACGACGAGATACGCCAGGTGCCGTCCCGGACACGTCCTGTTCCCTCCGCCCCAGGTCAGATTATATCGATCCATGGTCCGAACATCGTTCGTGTCAAGCCATCGACTTGGGTTGAACGAGTCAGCATCGACGCCGAATATTTCTCTGTTTCTGTGAAGCGATACCGGATTACAACCGACGATAGTACCGGCGGGGAAATGGTGGCCGTGTGCCTGCAGGCCCTCGGCCGGCACAGTCCGTGAAAGAGACATACCGAGGACCGGATGCAGGCGCTGGGCTTCCTTGATTGTTGCCTGCATGTACGGCAAGTGAGTCGCGTGATCAAAGCTTGAGGAATTCTCGGCTGATCGCACTTCGGCTGCGACCTTGGCCTGTACAGACGGGTTCGACCCGATCATGGCCATGATGGAGGTAAGAGCGGAGCACATGGTCTCGTGGCCGGCGCCAAAGTTGGTCACGGCCATCCGTCGCAGATACCTCTCGTTGAATTCGGGCTTCTCCTTGTGAAGCTGGATCAAGTCGTTGAGGAGATCATGACGGTCAGAGGCAGCCGGTTTCTTGGTCTTGCCGAGCTTGGAAGGCTTGACGGCCTTCGGGGCGAGCTCTGCTGTGATGCGTCGCGACGACTGACGGTAAACACCCTACGAGCAGTTAGGCGATGCTGCCGGCGTATGCCTGCGGATGAGGTACTATACCGTGAAGAAGGGCTTCAAGGTCTTGGCAGCCTTATGAGTAAGCCCCCAGAGACGAGCAAACGCGTAGCTGATCTCTCCCGAGATGATCTCGGCCTTGATAATCATCGGAAAGAGTCCAAAGACGCTCTTCCGTCTCCAACCCAAGTAGCCATGGCTGCTGGAGCCCCAGTCTGTCTTGTCCTTCAGATAGCCCGGAGACCAGCCCAGCACAATGGCGCCCAGACACTCGACAGCAATGATGTGCATCCACTCCTTCAAATCAACTTCGGCTCCGTCGAGACCCCGGATCTGGGTGACGATCTTCTCAAGCACGGCGTCAATGGCAGGCTCATGTCGCTTGAGAGATGCCGTCTGGTAAATGGGACCAATGAGACGCCTCTGCAGGCGATATCGTGATATGTCTCGTTCAGACAAGAGGTCCAGCGAGTCGGGGAAGTGCAATCTGCCCATCCAGTCCATCGTCGGCTTTTGCAGCAAAGTAGCCACTGCACGCAGTCAGCCTACATGTACCAGGGTGCAAAGGTCGGCGACACCTCAGTCAATGCCCATGAATGCCTCACAGTAGAACTCGGACTTCTCATAGCCACTGCCGGCCCCTTGTAAAAAGTAAGCAATGGGCGCCATCAGATCGGGACAATTCCGACGACTCACGATAGATGCTCTTGAACGCATCTTTGCTATCGAACCACACTTCGTTCGGCCCCACGCGGACAACAGGGCCGTACTTCTTGTGCAACGTCTTGCCTAGGACGAACATGCGCCCATCGCGAACGTGGAGAGCATGCCACACATTGGAGATCGCGGCGAGCTTGGGCCCCGGCACACGGGCGAGGGGGTGCAGGGCCAGTCTGTAAAAGATGATGGCGCAGGGCGCCAAGACGACTGCCAGCAGCACAGCTGGCACAGCCCTAAGTACTGTGAAGACGAGCCATTGCCGGACGGACATAAGGCCTGGTCGGGTCGTGGCGCGGGATGTACTGCGATTGATGGCTGACGATGGTTGGGAATTTCAGTCATCTCAATCATGTTCTGGCGCAAAATCTGCTTGTTGGTGCCGCGTTGTAGGCCCAATTGGTGCCACATGTCACCATCTGGCGAGAGACTCTGAGGCACAACAGCATCACCGAACAATGATCTTGACTATCTAGATTCCTGCCGTGACTAGAAGGTATTCCTGGCATTCAACGTCACCCCTGGGGACTCTATACTTGTTAAAATACTCTGGTGTACTATTTTGCCTCATCGAGGGCTGAATCTGTGGGTTGAGGACCGACAAGATGACCATCCCCCACGTCACACCATTTACGATGTCTAACTTGAGGGACGGTGCTCATGTCGTTAAACTATGTAGGACTCATAAGGAAATTATTCGTGGGAATTGGAAGCTCAAAAATGGAGATGCAGCTGCCCGGGGTTCATTGCCACAATAACAGCTTCCCTTGGCGAATATTGAGAACCAGCTATTTTGGGCAGCTTCGATGAACTCCGTGCCCCAAAGTCCGTGATCGACATGCCTGCATGTACGATATGCAGGGTCACAACACCCAGATTTTGCGCACCATGCAAGGTCAGCGGCTGACGCGAATATTGTTCTCATATGTGCTCCAATGCAGGCCGCCCAGGTTCCTTTCGACTGATCTCCCCGAAAGGGTTAAATTCGTCACATGGAACAGGGTCCATGGTCAAAGCTAGATCGTGTGCCTGGGTTGCAGGTTTGGCTTCCTAGAAGTTTTGCCGGCAACAGGCAACACAAACTGCATGCGCTTACTTCTTCGTGTACTTTATCAATGTATTGCAGCGATCTCATAACATCCGAACCATCACGACCCGTATCAGCCTCGCCAACGATAGGCCCTCCTCGTCTGCGTAAACTTGGAAAAGCTCGGAAATATGATCTCACGTCTCGAAGGCGACGTCGATTCAAGGGGGTCTGACACGGATCAATCTTCCACTTCTTCTGACGCAACATGGCATCTGCACTATGATACTGCGGTCATCCATGCGGGGCTCGATAAAACTCCCCGCCATGGAGAGTGTACAGTACCAGTGTTCAACTCGGCGTCCTTCAAGTTTCCCAGCTCAGCTGCTGCCGACGATGCGTTCAGTGCTGTCCCAGATGTACAGCGCTGGGTCTATAGCCGCTTTGGTAACGTATGCTATGCATTTCTCACAATATCGTTCCCCGCTTACAAAGAGCAGCCAACGAACGATGCATTTGAACGACGCATGGTCGCTCTCGAGGATGGTGTCGATGCTGTGTCGCTTGCGTCGGGAGCAGCCGCCACCTTGACTGTTGCCATGTCTCTGGCAAGGGTTGGAGACAACGTAATTGTATCCAATTTCACACATGGAGGAACCTTTCATCAATTCAAGCTCATCATGGCACAAATGGGGGTCGAGAGTCGGTTCTGCAACACCAACGATCTCGAGCGCGTCCGCTCGCTTCTAGACGAACGAACCAAGTTCATCTTCACCGAAACCATAGGGAATCCGAAATTCTCAGTTGCCGATCTAGAACCTCTTGCCGAGATCGCTCACGGGGCTCAGATTCCTCTCGTTGTCGATGCTACTTTTACGGCGGCAGGCTATTTCTGCCAGCCTGCCCGTTGGGGCGCTGATATCATCATTCACTCGGCCACCAAGTGGATAGGGGGTCATGGCACCACTCTTGGTGGCGTCGTCATCGAAACAGGCCGGTCGGACTGGCAGTCCAATGTCGCCCGCTTTCCACAACTCCACGGCCGTGAGTTCGGCTCTGACAAGGTTGTCGGGACCAATCTTTATACTGCTCTCGGGTCTCGAGCCTACATGCAGATGCTAAAGTGGGATTTCATGCGAGATACAGGCGCCTGTCTTGCCGCGCCCTCGGCCCAACAGCTCTGCATCGGGCTCGAAACCCTGCCGCTGAGGTGCGAGAGGCAGACAAACAATGCTGATCAACTTGCTCGCTGGCTGCGTGCTCACTCGCGAGTGGCCTGGGTTCGATACCTGGGATTTGAAGATCACCCGGATCATGCATTGGCGAAAAAGTATTTTACACCAGGTCACGGCTTTGGTTCAGTGCTTACCTTCGGTCTCAAGGGCGGAGCAGCTGAAGGTTTTGCCCTCATTGATGCGTTCAAGCTAATTACCAATACACCGAATGTTGGCGACGCAAAAACCATCATTGGGCATCACTGGTCAACAACGCACAAGCAATGCAGCCCGGAGGAGATGGAGAACATGGGCGTTTACGAGGATTTGTTGAGGCTATCTCTAGGCATTGAGCACATTAGTGATATCGTCCGAGATTTTGAGCAGGCTCTGGGCCAGACGTCCCATCTTGTGGCGAAGCAAGACGGTGCTCCTTTGGGTAGCTTATAAGGCATTAGATTGTTCTGATTTCAACGCAGCCTCTTCAAATTTCATTGTTCACCAAATCAATTTGTTTCAATTGTAATCATGTCGATTTTTACCGCTCGCTTCACAGTCACAAGACTCGAGCGCCACCTTCGATTAGCAGCTCTACAATTTTTTCTTCCTGCAGCCTCACAGCAAGATCTAGCGGGGTCAGACCTGCATCATTTCGTAGGTCCAGCCTGGCACCATGATGCAACAGCATGCGTGACATTGAGATAGACCGAGCCCGAACGGCGCAATGAAGGGGCCGATCGCCGTTGGCAACGTCTCGTGCATCAACATCAGCTCCGCCACCAACAACTAGAGTGTGGGCAATGCCCCCGGACCCATTCTTAATGGCGATATGAAGTAAGTTTCCTCCAGGACGAGGGTTCGCGGATTCTGACAGCAGCTCGTACTGTGGTGGATCGACAGATTCTGACTGAGGACTTGTTAGAGTGGATGGGCCCATTGTGAGTCATGGCAAAAGATGGACATACGAGCATATCGTTCCATTGAAGAGATGCCGCCTGGGTGTACCCTTCCGTTGAACAGTTGTTGTGAGATTGTTCACGAGACTACTCAACCGATATTAGCACATGTAACTCCAAGTGTGGAAGACAAGTCTCTCTGGGATGAGGACCTACGAATTCATCAGTCAAGCAGACCGTGGGATAGTTTTCAGGCCATGTTCCCCCTCGAGAGGGTGGCAACGTGGGTTGGTGATGCGTAAAAGGCGTATGAGAGTAATCTACCGACTCTAATGGAGCTATATAGGGCGAGGGTATTGCCGAAAAGGATGGTGTAGGATAGTAGCTCTGAGCGGAATGGTTGTGAAGTCCTTTGGACGGTGGCTGGATTCCGACAGCCGCAGTCACCAAACTGTCCCTCAGAGTTGAACTTGGATCAATGGGGCTATTGAAAGCTTCATGCCAACCTGAGGGGGACTGTGGAAGTTCGTTTGCAATCGGGAGTGAGAAATCCTGCCAAGACGAAGAGCTCTGTGGTGTGGGTGAGCTTTCACTACCGAGCAAGCTGTTTCCATGATCTTCGTCGGCAGCAGCGCATTGCTCTTCACTCGCGGCAGAGCATGTACACGTTCTTCCCTCTGAACCAGACTGCTGGGTCAGCTTTTGGCGGGCGCCTAAGCTTGTCTGCTTTAGAAACGCGGCCCATGGGTTCGAAGGTGGTTATGTGTCGCTGCGCACGCCACGGTACTTACGAGACTTTCGTTTGGCGATGCGATTTCGCTCGCGAACACGGTCCAAGCGACAAAAGGTGTCCAAATGCCAACTCATTTCTGTCAGGCCTCGGCAAGATTGTCCGCCACTGGTCCTGGGGGAAAGACAGTATCGCTATGTATCGTAGGTACCAAGCCGTTGGTGATTCGTATGCTTCAGGGTGGCTCAAAAAAAGAACAGGGAAGAAATCCCAACGAAAGTGCACATGCATACTCCAGTTATGAGGGACGGTCAAAGGCAATTTCCATAATGGCACCTCGGATGGTGATCAAATTGCCTAAAAGGCCGGCCTTCTCAGGAGGTCAGCGGCACGGACGTCGTCATTGGCGCAAGAGGGACCGTTGCAAGATGTTCTCAACAAGGCACCGAACCTTTACAGATCTGCAACGCAACAGCGCATTTCGCTCAGGGACTGAAGCTGTGAACTGGTACTTCTATTGCTAGTATCTGCTGCTCTTTAATGCACGCATGGAATAAGAGCCTTGGCATTCGCGTATGGCAGCAGTAGACGACGTATCAGACGCTTGAGTCGCTCTTGGTCACAACAAAATTCGGCCGAACCGGGCTTCACATTTGCTGTCTCTCGGCGAGTAAGAATCTTGGGCTGAAATTTAGATCCATTGGCGGCATATTGAACCTCCATCAGAAGGGTATGATAAATGAAATCCATCATCCCTTAACCTCTGAACGTGGCAACAGGAGACGTAGGCTGGAGGGGAGTGTCAAGCTGACTCGATACGCTCTTACAATGTGCGCACTTCATGGTCGAGGCACCACATGACAGGGCTCGAGGCTGCCAGTAGTTGTCTGCCATCTGCACATTATTTACCTGATGACATTGTGGCTTACTGTGCTGCATGATCACCTTGCAGTGCCGTGCGGGAAAACCAGCGCAAACTAGCTCAGCAGCATACCGAGCGCGGGGGTGGAGTAAACCAGGGGGCCGTTTACACAGCCGAAGCAGCGGATGGCGGCCCGTAGTGCGGTAATGAATAAGCTTATTGTTACGTCTACATAACTCGTGTTCACATACTGCGCGCTCACGATCCCTTTGGCGCTTCGTGCAGAAGCTCCTGATAACTTCGAGTAAAGCTGTCCACCATGGTCAAGGCGTGCTCCCTGCTAAGCGGCGAAACGACCACCCCTGTCGTGAACCATCGCCAGCTACCCCTTTGTCCTGCGTACCAATCGCTGGGCCTTGCTATGGTGACGTGATACGGCACATGCTGCATGATTTCGGGGCGACTGCGCCGTAACTCACCAGTTGGGTATGCGTCTCCATCGATCGCTATCCGGGTGTTGGGCTTGGGCCCCCCTTCGCTTCCTGTAGTGGAGGCAAATCCAGGGATGTCGAGTGCGCGCATTTGCGCTAAACTCACGTCGACAGCTACATTGGCGAGTGAGACGAAATTTGTTGGGGAGTGCTTGAACGGGATGGAAAGTGCCTCGAATCTTCCCCAATCACGAACCGCACAAAGAACCTGAAGGGCCCAGTAGTCGACACCGGAGGAGAATAGACTGGCGGTTGAGCTGCCCATCCCGGGGGCCCTGGCATTGATCTCGTGCAGAAATATCGAAGGCTCGTCCTTGTTGGCCTTTGTACTTGTTTTAAGCATTTGGAGCACCGGAAATGGCACCTTCGGGTCCACGACGTAGTCCATGCTGGAGTTCCGCACCCTTGCTTCGCAGTGGAAAACTCCCGATCTGAAGCCTTGAAGCAAAACGGCCTGCTTCATTGCCTCGATCACTAAGGCCTGTTCGTTCTTCGGTAGGCCCGACGGGGTGTGGGTCTGCGTCTCGTTGAAGGTGCCTCCTTGGGAGCTAGACGACGTATCTGCTGAGCAAGGGAAGTCGTCAACCACCTCGGCGAAGAGGAGACGACCATCGCGTAGCACCAGATTTGCATCGACTTCGGGCCCTTCGACATAGTCTTCGACCACTACACCATTGGGGCAATCTCGGATGGCCAAGATGCGCGTCACTGCGTCCCGGAGCTCATCTGGATTATCGGCTCTGAATACGCCTTCAGAGCCTCGGCCTATCGACGGCTTGCAGACAACAGGGTATTGCAGCTTCCCATCCATGTCTCCCGCTGTCCCGATTTGACTCTCCAGTTCGCTGACGGACTTGACCGCGAAGGTACTGCCAATGTCCTGACCGCTAAACATGCGAGTGTAGAACTTGTCCGTGGAAACAGTGAAAGCCTTCACACCTGGAGTGTAGAGACCCAGCGCCTCGGCTGCTTGTGCCACGCTGACGAGGTAATCGTCGGAGGAGGTGAATATCCCATCGATAGGTTCTGGGTATGATCTGACAGCTTGGGCAATACGCGCGCCAAGAAGGCAACCATTTCCGTCGTTATTCGTACTCATATTGACCAGGACAAGAGCTTCCCTGAGATGTTGAAGTGAAGTATCCACCAGATCGTCTGCCCACCAGTGGCCGTTCGTGATAATCACGAGCTTGACCCCGAGGGCTGCCGCAGCTTGCCACCTTGATAGCCAACTTTGGACAATCTGGGGCCCAATAACCAGGCAGACTCGATATTGCCGAATAGCAGTTGGCTGAAGCCATGGAAAGGATAGTCGCTGCTCCAGTTGCCATTCAAATGATGACGTGGACTCTTTGAGACCGAGGCGTTCACACGCAGGCGTGCGAAGTCCTGAGGCCACCAGAGTCTCCGGCTTTAATAAAACGACGCCAACTGCGATTTCCAGCGCTCTAGTAACATCTTTCCACGTGTCGATGAACCCTGTGAATGAAAGGATTCTGGTAGACGTAGAAAGAAAGCTGAATGACGACGCCACTTGCGGACATCCCAGCAGTCGATACACCAGAAAGTCGGAACGGACAGCGAAACCTCCATGTTCCGCAAGAAGAAACACGCAGGAAGGTAAGACGAGGCCTTCATCACGGGACTTGCCCGCATTAGCAGTTGCGGCTGTTCCGGAGCATGCTGCCGAGAAGAGATAGTCGAAGGCTTCTTTCAGGAGGATTGATTTCTCCTCGGTCAAAACAGCCTGTTCCCGATACGAGAAGCTACTTCGATCTTCAACAATGATCAAAGAACTGCTAACATTTGGATTCGAGTCGGAGGCAACGGTCTCCAGGCGTGAGTCTCGCGCAGCGACCGGGTTCACATAAACCCTCTTCAAGTGGTGTTGGGTAGCGTCATCACGGAGCCACCACTGACACTCGACAGACCCTACATAATAGCTTAGCAATGGATCTTTATATACGACGAAGCATTCACATGGAGGAAAAGAACATACTAGACCCTTGAATAAGGGCGGCTCGAACGCTCTTGGCTTCTCGTGCTGCTGGCATATCTCTAATACGACATATGGAGTCGACACTTTGGTTCTGATTCTTTTTGGTAGACAAGAGGAACGTTTTTCCTAGAAGAAATTCATAGAAACGCCCACAAAAAGAGATGTCTCCCTGATCCAGTCGCTGACGAGTAAGGAAGCATCGGGGTGTCCTCTCTGCATGACGTGAGCTTACACATGCGCGGGGGAGGGTGGGGTTGCGCATGTTTGTGGGGGTTTTGAAATGGTACATTGGAGTACTCCTGCAGTATCATTGACTGTGCATAAAGTAGCGGCCATTCGAGAAGGTTTTTGTCCTGGTCATTTTATGTGATAGAGGCTTGACACCGAATATGCGTGATATGTGGCATGTGCTAGATTTCCAAGCCATGCTGTGACGAGCACAGAGAACAATGAGGCCATTCTTCTACCCCCACTTCAGCTCGCTTTCTACTCAAGGAAAACACAGTCTTAACAGTTACTACCGTGTTGGTTCATTTGGTGGTCTCCGGAAACGAGTGACCTCACTCTGTACGCTGTAAATGCCCTGAACTCGAACCATGCTCAACGCCACTCACTGGCGTAGTACCGGATCTCTTTCTATAATCCAACGTGCTTGAGCATAAAGTCCCCGAGAGAGAAGTTCGTGCAGCGAGCGAGTGGCATTAATTGTCGGAGAGGTTCTCCTGACATGATATGATCTGTGAACGGACTCTCCTTGCAGGCAGTCTCACCAATCCAACCTATTATCTTCTCTCAGCTCGACGTCCCAACGCTCGTTTCCACGCCACACCTGCTTCCCCGAATTCAAAGAGGCCACAGATGTGCGAAGCTCACTAATCATAGCACCTGGTCCACTCGCGAAGACCACCGTAGGACCCTGCACTGTCTCTCCCACAAAGTCTTGGACGAGGGTGCCGACGTCGGGATGCCGGCGAACGCTGTCATTTGAGCCCGCCGCATTTTTATAAGTGATGATATCCCTGAGAGTTGTTCCGCTTGTATCCGGAAAAGATGAAGAAGAGCTTGAATCCGTTGCTTGGCGGGCTTTTTGATCGCTGGAGAGCTTCTCATCGGCACTGGTGTTGTTGGCCTTCCCAAATTCCTCCTGCTCGCGGGTGACGAAGATTGTCACTTGGACATTGTGTTGCCCGGCCGAAGCCTTGATGCATTCAAGCTCAGACTCTATCCAGCGAGCGTCGTCGCGGTGGCGGACCATCCAGATGAGTTGAATTGCACGATCAGTGCGGCCGCTTGTCAACGCTGAGTCGACTTGGGACTGGAGCGTTTCAAGAATGACCGGCAGCACATACGTGATGCCTGTACCACCTGCGATAGCCAGGACATTGACACCTCTATCTATTCCGCGAGTGGATTGTTCGCCGTAGGGCCCTTGTAGGATTACTGGCGTGGTAGGACACGGAAAAGAACCTGCGTTTTGCGTCTCGGCAAGCCTACGAGCCGCAAGCTCGGCAATCTTTTTCGTCTCGCCGCCTTTTGCGCGGAAAACGTAAGAGTGCTTGACGAGGCCTTCCTTTCCCAGAACAGGCAGAGAAAGCGGCGTGAAAGGGTGCGACTGCCATACGCTGCTGTCGGGAAAGCACAGATAAAAGTGTTGCCCGACATGCCAAGGCGACTGACTGAAGGTAAAGTCCAGGCGCGCTACATCGCCGTGGTCTGCGTCTGGAAACAGCGTCAACTGAGCTTGAGCCGGGTGGAAGCCCCAATCGCCACCGACGTATTGGTGATGAAGAAGGGCCATGCGCACGAGTCTGGCCAGCCGGTCGAAGAACCACAGCAACAGCCCGCACAGCATCCAGTCGCCGAGAAACTCCCAGTGACCCCAGCAAGTGCCGATGTATACCATGGCCAGGACATAGTGCGTTTTGCGGAAGAACTCAAACCCAGTGAGGCGGATCATGAAACCAAGGCTGAGAAACCACATGAGTAGAAGCAGGAACATGGCGCAAAGACCATACACCATGTACTCCTTCGTTACCCAGTTGACTGCATACTCTGGCTGTGGGCCATAGAGTCCGATGCAGATGACGCACCACACGATGGCGTGGAGCACGCTCTGGAGCAAGATGATGTAGCCAACCCACCGGTGCAGGAAGTTGAAAGCCTGATATGGGACGCCTGTGAGAATCGATAGGATGGATTCCCTACTGGCAAGGAGTACGGAAAAGGGCGTGATAGCGTACGCAAGAATACCAATGCGGTTGGACCAGATTCCAGCAGTGTTCTGTTCCTTGTAGACATCAGGGTAGTCCTTGACGGGGGAAATCCAGAGAGCGTATGTCATCCCCACAAATGAGAAAATGGTCAAGTAAACGACCAGGATGGTGAGGATAAGAACTTGTAGTCTCGTGGTGCGTCCAAAAACGAAGCGAATTGAATCAGGGAGAAGGTAAGAGCGAGCCGTGGCAGCTGCGGCACGGAGAGGTCGAGAGACGAGTGCCGGCGACGTTGAGGTCGGAAGCTGCGTCCCTGTGAGAGGGGCGGACTCGCCTTCGGCTTTGTTGGACGTAGCTGTGAAGACGAAGGGTCTGGTGCGACGTGAGACAAGGGAGCGTCTTCCCACAGCAATGATCAGAAGGACTGCGCCAGCAATAAGCCAGAGAATGCCGGAATAGACCATGCCTAGGTCGTTGGCCTCCCAGAGGGCGTCAAGATAATCGCAGTTGGCCTGATCAGCAGTACAAGGTAGTGTACGCGGATGATACCCATAGTGCCAGACTTTGTAAGTCTTGACCTCCGCCCCGTCGGCCATGGTGATAAAAAGATAGGCCAAGCTAGACTTGAGACCGGCGATCTAGATGGGTATTGCCGAAAGAAAGACGTTGGGTCGTCGCAGGGCAATGGACAATCGCTTTGACCAAGAAATTATCTGCTGCAGGACTCTTGAAGACAAGGTCAAGGCTGCTGAAAATTTAAGCAGTGTACGGAGGATGGAAAGCGTCAACGGGAAGCAGAGGAGGGTCTGCAAATGCTTTGTATCAAGTGTAGGTTACGGCGATGCCACTGACTCGAGCATACACATTTCCACCGAAACCTGGTGATCAGTTCGGTAATACACAGGCACAAAAGCTCTCCACCCTCCACCCTCCAACCGCGAACATAAAGATTGCTTCGCAGGGTGTGAATTCGGAAACTCTTGGCGGTGATGTGAACAAGCTGTGGTGCTTGGGCAACGGATGACGGGCCGGGCACTGAATGCCCTGTAAGCTAGACTTGCGAGCAAACTCCCCTGTTCGCGCATGGTCCCGAGCACGAGGACGTAAGCCACAGAGCACAATTGAGAAGGTTATGGTTGGCTTGTTGGTGGTGTCTCACAACACCCTGCAGACCACCTCGCGGGGGACACAATTTCTCGGCACGGAATATGCCACAAAAGGCAAGATCTTCAATGACATGAAGACTTTCTTGGGTTACACCCCTGCGACCTGGCCAGCGTCTTCTGGATTGGTGGGCAGGATTGTAGCATCGGTGTGGTATTTCGTTAGATTGACCCGGACGCTTGATCAGTGACCAATCTCACATGTGGTCACCGTGGTGGTCCGGCTCTACAATATCCCAGCAGCAGGCCAGCCTACATAGAAACTCAATATCTCGTCGATATCAACAGGATCAAGAAAAAAGATCGTTTCAGACTTCGAGCTTTACAAACGATAACAATTCCCATCCGCGTTACGACTTCGGTGACCCCTCGATAATGAGTCATGGATCGCATTCAGATGATACTGATCTCCAGTGCCAGATGGAGGTGAGTTACCCCGGCGTCTTTCTCGTTGTATCGGCGTATTCGTACGTGGAATAGTGATTACAGGTGATTAACTATGTCTTAGATGATCTGGAATTGGAACACTGTCGGATCGTGTAAGTCGTCATGCCACGCCCCTCGAGACTAAAATCTAGCTCTGAGCTAGGATGCTAACAAGGCGCCCTTGCGATAGGTTTCCTCGCTAAATCATGGTACATCCGGACTGAAGGCATGATGGTTGCCTCGAGTATTGGTGTCGCCCTCCTGGCCGTCACTCTCGAGCTGTGCCGGCGCGCATGCAAGGAGTACGATGCTTCAATTGTTGCGCAGATGGAACGAAGCGTGACGGCCGCTACTCTCACCAATCCATCACTGTTACCCCCTTCGAGCAGAAGCTCCCCGACTGTCCGAATCCTCAGCCTTCGTGTCAGCCCGTTGCAGCAGGCCATAAGATCGCTCATGTACGCCATCACCTTTTCAGTGGCCTACATAGTCATGCTCTTGGTCATGTCCTTCAACGGTTACATCATCGTTGCCATCTTTGTTGGCGCCGGCTTGGGCAAGTTTCTTACCGACTGGATGGTGGTCAAGGTGGCTGTGAGCCAGAATGGAGGGGAAGGAACAGAGAAGCCAACCGGCATCGAATCAGTGACGATTTGCTGTACATGAGACGACATGGTTCCAATTCTTCACAATCAGCGATTTCTTAGATTCAAACTCAGAAGGGCTCTGTTCTAAATTTGGGCAGATGAAGCACGAGTTTGCTGCACTTAGCACAAGTGATTAGCAATGGAAAGCTCTCAGATGACTCTAGATACAATGATTGACGTATTGATGCTTCTGCCCTTCTCCCCGTTCATGTGACACGTCAATACAGGCATCAACTTCTTCATCAACTTGGGAGAGTTCATTATCGTTGGCTGCGAAGGTTAGTGCTATGCCTCGTTGCTTCTTTTGGCCTGGGTCGATACTCACTGGATAGAAAAGTGACTTCAATGAAGCAGAGCCTCTGGACACCATGATGGAACCACTGGTCATGCGACTTGCCACCTCGAGCAAGACTGTCTCCTTCTCTTCGGCAGTTGAGCCGACGGTGGCGTTGAAATACACCGCATCAAAGCGACGTAGATCCCTGGGTACATCCCGTGCATCACCAACCTCATACGTGGTGTCCTCAGAATCCAGCTCGAGTGTGGCCATCGCCCGCTGGCTCAACTCGAGCCTCGAGGGCACCAGCTCAACATTATGAACATGGACACGCTCGCCACGTGCCCGAGCCCAGTCTTGAATCCAGATACAGGTCTCCGGCAGGGCACCAGCGCCGAGGATAGCAACAGAGCGTGGTGTACGCCCTAAAACCGTAGATGCTGCCGTCCACTCCAGCTCTGCGGGGGTCCCATAGGCATGGATCGGGAACCGTGAAAGGGATAGACGCGCCGTCGG